CGTGCCTAAGAGAGGGCGGTGCACAAGGGTGGGGGCGTGGCCAAGGGATGAGGCGGAGCTAAGGGGCGAGGCGGGGCTAATAGGCAAGCGCCATAACTAATATGCGGGGGCGTGGCCAAGAGTCAAGGGGCGTGGCTAAGACACGGCCAGAGGATAAAGATAGGGCTAGGCTAAGGGAAAATGGGCGTGGCTAATACCATGGGGCGTGGCCAGTGTCTTGGGCGTGGCCGGGAGGGGCCCCACGTTCCCGCCCTCCCCGCAGCTGGGTCCGGGCGGCCCATGGGGACACTCGGGGCTCTGCCCCCCCGCTCCAGCCCTGGGTGACAGGGGCACCGTGGGGTGAGGGGGCTCCACCCCCCAGGAGCGCAGACTCGGGTGAGGAAGAGCATAAAAGTTTATTGGCCGTGGGCCCGCGCTATGTACAGTATTTACAGGAGCAGGCGCTCGGCCTCGCTATTTACACCCCGAAAGGCCCCGCGCGCGGCCGCGCGGCGCCGCCTCGCAGAGCTGTGCACGAGCGGGGACACGGGGAGCGGGGCGGACGGGCCGGGGGCGCGAGGCGCCCGCGCGGGCCGGGCTGCCCGCGCGGCCCCTCCGGCGTCCCCGGGATGCTCCCGGTCCCGGCGGCGCGCGCCGCGGGGCGCCTACAGCTCGCTGAAGCGCACGGCGGGCTCCAGCTTGTGCGAGAGCGCCGTGAGCACCTTGTCGAACTTCTCGTAGCGCTCGGCCTGGCCGCTCTCAGCCCCGCGGCTGCCCCACAGCAGCCGCAGCTGGAACTCGGTGCTGAAGATCTCCAGGAGCTCCGCTTTGCCCTGGAAGCCTGCGGAGGGCGCGGGACGGAGGGRCTGAGCGAGGGCAGCCCGGCCCCACGGGGCGCCCTCCTCCCCGTCTGCGCCGGCGCCCGCTTACCCTGCAGCTTCCCCGCGGCGTTGGTGTGGTAGAGGCCGCCGTGCTGCGCCACGGYGCGCGCCGCCTCCAGGTGCGCCATGAGCACCTCCACGCCGCTCTCCGCCTGCTCCCAGGGCTCGGCGCGCTCCGGCAGGGCCGCCTCCCGCTCCAGCAGCGTCATGAGCGGCACCACGTGAGGAAACGTCGTGTTGCTCAGCGGCGGCCCCTCTGCGGACGGAGACGTGTCTGTGTCCCGGCGAGGCGGGTGCTGCTCCGCGCCCCCGCGCCTCCCTCCCCAGCGGCCTCTGGAGCCCCGGCTGCCGCCCGGAAACGGGAGCCGCTTTGGAGATGGCTCCATTCCCTGGGGCCGTCCCCGCATTGGGCACCAGTCCCTTGCCCCAGTCCGTGGGGTCGCATCCTGCAGTTGGGAGCAGCCTGGGTGGCCCTGCGCACGGAGCGGCTTGGCCCCGTGTGCGCCCAGCCATGGGATCCGCTTCGGTCTGAAGCGTCCCGGGGAAGGGAGGGCAGCCGAGGCCGCCGCCGGGGACGTGGATACAGGGTGCCCCACGGGCCRGAGCACCCGGCTCGGGCCGGGACAGGGATGGGGCACCTCGACTCGCCCCCGTCCGCGARGCTGTGAGTGGGGGCGTCACTCCCGGTACCTTTCCCTTCGTTGAGGCTCTTCAGGAAGGGCTTGAGCTTCTTCTCGTAGAGGACGGCGCCCTCCGTGTGCCGCTGCCGCAGCGCCACCCACGTCTGCTCCAGCCGCGCGATCTGCAGGGACGGGCGGCGGGAAGCGCTTGGCAGCGCCGGCAGCGGCACCCCAGTCTGCCCCTCGCCCCGCCGCGACTCGCACGCCCCGCGTGGGGGCTGCCCCACCGGCCGCTTCCCCCGTGTCCCGGTGGCCTTGGGGACCCCRCGCGGAGCAGACCCGGGCGGGCGGGGGCAGCCCCTGCAGCTCCTTTGTGCTGCAGGAAGCGAGGCTTCCCAGCCGGGCATCCTGCAAAAGGGAATTTCCATCCCCTTTCATCTCGAAGAGGAGCGGCAGGGGCCCGGAGCGGCCCCGAGCGCCGTGTGCGGCACCGCAGGGCACAGTCATTTCCACCCAGGAACAGAGCCCAGCGCAGAACAAAAGCAGCCGACCGCGGAACAGCGAGCGGCTCCCGGCGGGACGCGGCCGCGCGCCGGGGAGGAGGCAGCTCTTTCCCTTCCCCGCCAACGCCCCGGCGGATGCGCCCCCCCTGGCCCTTCCCTTGAGCTTTTCTTCCTCCTCCCAGGCAGGGAGGCATCATATCCCGCCGGGTCCCAGGATGGGGACACGGGGACATCCCGGGACGGGGATGGATGGGGCGGGGGGAGGAGGGCACGCTGAGTGCCCCGGTACCTGCGTCATTTCCAGGGCGTTCATGACGGCGGCGAAGCTGAACATGTTGCCCATGGTGCTCTTCAGCTCGGCCGCCAGCTGGATGCTCTTGTGCAGCAGGGCCGCCCTCTCCTCCGTGCTGCCCGTGCAGCCCAGGATGTCCACGGCGATCATGATGGACATGGTGTGAAACCTGCCGCGAGGGGACAGCGGCGGTCGGCCCCGGGACATGGAGGGGTCGGCTCCGCGCTGTGTCCCCGCGCAGCCGGAYGCCCCCGGAGCCGAGGCCACGCGGTGGGACCCCCTGGCCCTACCGTTCGAGCAGGTCGAGCCGCAGCTGGTGGCCGTGGGGCAGCGTGAGCAGCTCCATGCCGGAGCTCACCCCCATGAGCCGCTGCATCTCCGTGCTAACGCCCAGGATCCTGGCGACCTGGCAGGGAAGCGGAGAGTGGATTAGGCTCTGCTAAGGAGGGGCCAAAGGGACCTTGGGCATCTGACCCCCTCCTGCATCACCACCAGCCCGGGCTCCCCCTGCCCGGGACTGGCACAGGGCTGGAAGAGCCACATGGGATGCTGAGTGCGGGGYGGGTGCTCCGTGCTTAGGGGTGCTCTGCGCTCAGGGACAGTCCATGCCCAGGGATGCCCCACGCCCAGGACGCTCCATGCCCAGGGACACTCAATGCCCGGGAATACTCTGTGCTCAGGGATGCTCCGTGCCCAGGTTGCTCCATGCCCAGGGACAGTCCATGCCCAGGGACACTCCGCGTCCAGGGATACTCCGTGCCCAGGGCTGCACTCAGGGGATGCTCTGGTCCCACACTAGCCCTCCAGGCTCCGGAGCCGCCGCAGCAGTGGTGCCAAGGCTGGCAGTGCCGCCCACGCCGCCTTGCCAGCCGTACCTGGCAGTCCACTTTGGTGATGTGTTTGGCGAGGGTCTTCGCGTCCACCTCGGCCAGCAGCTCCTTGACCTTCTTGAGCACGGCCATCTCCAGCGGCTTGTTCTCCAGCGGGATGAGCAGCGACTGGAAGGCCGCGGGGTGGAAGGACGAGCCCGTCTCCGTGATGGGGGGCACAAAGGCCCTGAGGTCCAGCTCTCCCTTCGGGCGCTGCCCGGCCTCGTCGCCGGCGCCGCTCTCCACAGTCCCTCTCTGCCCTTCCTCCACCTTTAGCCTCTCCACGTAGCTCTTTGYGGGGAGCTGCTTGGCGTCTGGAGTCGCCCGTTCTCTGCTGCCGGGCGAGCCGGGGTGCAGCTGGCAGTAGTGGCCGGCGTCGGGGTCGCTGTAGCTGCTGAGCGAGGGCGAGGGCGAGGCGCGGGCGTAGCCGTGGCAGGGGCTGGAGTGGGCGCTGTGCGCGGGCTCCGCCGCCGCCCTGCTGCTGCGCGGGCACAGCTGGGGCTCGCTGCACCTCCTGGGCGCCGCGGGCGCCGGCGCCGCGGCCGGGCAGCCGGGCGGCTTTAGCCGCGTGACTGCGGGGACGAGGAGAGGGCCTGTTAGGAGCGCGCGGGGGCACCGACATGCAGCAGCCCGGGGACCCCRCGGCCCGAGGCTCCCTATGACGGTCAGGAGGGTGCCAGCCCCGTGCCGGGGCAGCGGAGCACGGGCAGGGGTCCTGGCAGGCCGGGCAGCGCTCCAGAGCAGGGGGTCTAGCCCAGTGCTCTGTGTGTGACCCCAGCACCACGTGCAGCCCGGCCCGTGTCCCCACCGTGCCCACCAGGACACAGGGCGCTCCCTACCTGTGCTGTAGGCGGGCGACGCGGGGTGCTCGGAGATGGGGGACATCGGGGAGTGCAGGTCTTGGATCTGGTCCACGCTCACGGCGCAGTTGCGGATGGTGTCTCTGTGGTGCGGCAGGGACACGCTGCGGAGACGGGCACGGCTGAGGCTCCACAGGCAGGGACGTGCACCAAGGGGCTGGCGCGGGGCCGTCACGGGGCTCCCCGCTCCCACCGCTGCGGGACCTGCACCCCATCTGTGACCCAGGGTGCTCCCCCAGCAAGGGGGCCCTGGCGTTGGGCTCCAGCGCCCYGACACGTTGGCGGTGCCGGCAGTAACGGGCCCAGCTGGAGCAACGAGCGGGCCCTCCCGCTGCTGGGGGAGGCCGGTCTGTGCCCAGATAAATTGGAGACCTCAGGAGAYACCTGGGGGCTGGAGAGCAGCAGGGGGGAAGGAGGTGGTAGGTGCTGCTGGGGGTGTCATGGGGCTTCCTGGGGTGCTGTGGGGACACRGGCTGTGCAAGGGGAGAGCTGGGCACGCGTCTCCTTCCACACTGCCTGGCTGTGGCTGCGCTGCTCTGTGTTCCCGCCCGGGCTCTACATGACTCACCAGAGTGGCAGCTCCCCGAGCCTGGCAGAGGTGCCAAGCGCCCGCGGCACGTGGGGCTCCTGAGGAGCCGGGGGGCTGCACCTGGCACGAGCCCGGGCGCCTGCGAGGGGCGGCGGGGGCTGCGGCGTGAAGTGACACACGTGGCGGGTCTCGTGTGTGACCTCCCTGCGGTGGCAGGAGGCCGGGGAGCAGCCTCGGCCACAAGCAGCTGGCGGGGAAAGGGGGGGAAGCCGYGCGGGGCTGGGCTCTGCTGCTGGGAGCCTTCCTTTCCGCAATGGGTGAGGGTCTCCTCCCAGTGTGTTTTACCCTGCCCTTGGACTGGGAAGGCTGAGGTGGGGTGAGAAAGCAGCCTGATCGCAGGAGAGGCTGGGGAGCTGCTCTTGTAGCTGCCCTGGGTTGGGATGCCCGGCCAGGGACGCGGCCCTTGGTGGCTGGGACTGGCTCCTCTCTCGTGTCTGCCTGGCCGTGAGGGCTGATGAGCCCAACAAACTGCTAGTCCTGGACCTGGTGGCTGTAAATCCCTCGGTCTGGGACAGCGGGCTGGTGTGCGCTCGTGTGCAGCTCCTCACRGAGAGCTCCCGGGGTCCAGCTGGGCACCAGGGCCTCCCCACTTGTCTCTCCTGCTCCTTCTGTGCCCAAGCTGTGACCGTTTCCATCCCCAAGCCCCGGGGAGCCGCTGGCTCTGCCCCTTCCCCRGGGACCGTCCCCGAGCCCGGCTACCCCGAGCTGAGCGCGGCCCTCACCTGCTGGGGCAGCCCTCGGCCCTGGTGATCTTGTCCGCCGTCAGGCCGTCCGTCATGGTGATGCTGCGGCGCTTTATGTGCCCCCCTTTCTGCGTGGTGGGGCTGTGGGCGCCGCCGTGCTTCCCGCTGCCCAGTCCATAGCTGGCTTCCAGGTAGCGCAGCGGGAACGTGCGGTTGATGGGGCAGTAGAYGATGGCCCCGCTCTGCTCGGAGATGGGCCTGCGGTTGCCCACGTAGAAGCGGACGAGGGCGGGCACGTTGTCGAAGCTCTCCTGCTCGAAGAGGTACTGGATGCGGGTGCGGCTGTCGCTGGACTTCACCGTCGCCTTGTTGATCTTGAAGTGCAGCGGCTCGTTGCGCCAGCGGCACGTCAGCACATAGTCGCCCAGGCTGGTGAGCGAGTCGCGGATGAGGAAGTCYCCGTTCCTCTGCACCAGGCTCTCCGACACCTGCCGGGGCGAGACACCGCCTCAGATGGGACTCTGAGGCCCACGGACTTGTGTGGGGACCGGGCAGGGGGTGAGGTGGATATTCCACCGAGGAAAGGGTAACGTGGAGCCTCAGCTGCTCCCTGTWCGAGCGGCCAGAGGCCTTCACGGTGGTCTGTGTGACCTGCTCCCTTGGTGGCCCGTGACGGATGCCCCCAAACGGTGCTGGCCCGAGGCCGGGTGCCGGGGCGCTCGGGGTGCTCCGTGGCGGCAGCCCAAGGCGGCGGAGCCCGCGCGGCCGCGCTCACCTCGCGCGGGATGCGGCCGTGGTACCACGCGTGGCTGCGCAGGTCGCTGCTGCTCAGCTTCAGCTCCTCCTCCAGCTCCTTGTGCAGCTTCTCCGGGGACGAGTCGAGGATGTATTTCTCCTTGGAGAACTACGGAGCAGAGAGAGGGCGTCAGGTGGGGCCCCTGCCCTCCCTGAGGGACATCGCGGTCCCCGTGAGACCCCGTCCCCCCTAAGGAAACGTGGCAAGAGGAAGCAGCAGTCTGTCCTGGCCGGGGCAGCTGCCAGGCCTCCCTGCACTCCCGCTTCCCGGGGCCACGTGTCCCCCGGRTCCCCCATGGCAGCGCTGGCAGCTCTGCCACCGGGGCCACTTGTGTCACTGCCCACCACGATGGGGCCAGCAGGAGCTGGGGGCAGCGGCACGAGGCTGCGTCTCTCACATGGGGACCGGTGGTGCCACCTGGCTGGGGACRGCTGGATGCCTCCCCCAGGGAACGGGTGACTTGGTGCCGTGTGGGGATCTCTGTGCACGCGGCTGCTCCGTCTCGGCAAAGGATGAGGATGGGCAGCGACTGCAGAAGGTCRGGTCCTGCCACCAGGAGCACCTTCCCCCGCGGTGACCGCAGGGAATGTCTGCGTGTCCCCAAGGTGCCTGAGYACCGCGTCCTCCACAAGCTTCCCCCTGCCCCAGCCTGGAGCTTCACAGGTGAAGCCGTTTGCTGGTGGTCGCATCCTGCCCGTGCCCACCCTGAGGCCGGGCGGCAGGAGCTGCGAGGAGGAGCCTCCCCCTCGGCCACATCTGCCACAGCGTTGCCCCCAAGGGGTTAACGTGGCCCGGTGCTGTGAATAGGAATGACAAGCGCCCAGGGGAACCTTGTGCATCAAGAGCAGCTCTTAGTGGCACGGCTGCACCTGAGCCTACGGGATGCGATTCCCCCGCTCCGCTCCCCTGGAGAGCCRAGGGATGGCGTCATGTCCCCGTGGGGCTGCTCCTGCCATGGAGCCGGGAGAGGATCCCGGGAATCCGAGCCCTGGGTGCTTGTMCAGGGCCTTGAGCATGGCCCTGGGGTTGCTGTACCCCTCGAGCTTGCTGTCATTGCCACCGCCCAGCGTGGTGTCCGGGGCTTGTGTCCACCCGGGGCTTGCTGAGCACATGGCATGGAGTCAAGGAAAGCCTGTGGTGGTGGCARCGCCAGGAGGGACCCACAACTTGGTCCCCAGTGGGACAGGATGGGCACGGGTTTGAGAACAGCTCCTGACCACTCCATTCTGGTGCTGCTAAAGCTTTGGGGCTGGTTCCCCTGGAGCATCGGGGGCTACAAGCCCCTGTCCTCCACGCTCAGGCCACTCCGCGTGTCCCCTACGCCGCACTCGGCTGCCTGCCCTGCAGGGGCTGCCCCTCCTCAGGGCCTGGGGCGAAGCCCTCAGTGGGTTTCTGCCCCTGCTACCCCCTCCGTGGGGCAGCCGCTGACCCTGGAGCTCTTGGATTTGGGCTCCTAGCTAGGGAGGACACGAGGACACAGAGCTGCCCGGTGCCCGGCTCTGTGTGACGCGATGGGGCCGGGGAAGCTGCCGGCCGAGAGCCGCCGTTCCCGCCGCAGACCGAGCCCTCCCACAAAGAGACGGTGGTGGCGGTGGCGCCGAGGCCCGGCTGCGTCCCGGGGGGCTGAGGCCGTTGCTGTAGCAACTCCCCGCTCCACCGGCCCCCCGCCCGGCGCTCGCGGCGGCTCCGTCCCCGGCGAGAGGCTCCGCCGCCCCCGGAGCATCTCCGGGGCTGGAGGAGGGAAGGCCCCCCGGCCCCGATGGCGCCGCTGCCGTTCTGGGCTTGAGCAGCTCCCTTCAGTTCCCTTCCGTGCCTCTGTGAGAGCTTGTGCTCGTGCCCTTGGTCTGCTCCGGAGAATGCTGCCCGAGCTGAGCGCGGAGCGGCCGGGAGCCGCCGTCCCCCCCGGAGAGGGGATTAGCGCCCGCTGCGCTGCGCCRTGCAGCTGGGTTTTCCCCCAATGCTCCCCATGCAAATATGCAGGATAACAAACAAAACCAGCTGAGCGCTGCCCGCCGTCTCCAAGCCGGGATTTGGGCAGCAGCCGGACGGCGGTGGTGCCAGGACYGGGTGCCCAAGGAGCAGGAGGGAAGGGGAGGCTGGGGAGAGGTGAGGAGGATGCCGGYGAGCACAGGGTGCCATGAGCTGCTGTTCCCAGCCACACAGAGAGCCCCGTCCCTGCAGCTGGGGAGTCACCAGAGAGGCCCTGAGAGGTGCGGGGCCGCGCACCGCGGGTTTCCAGCGCTCTGCCAACGCACGGAGCTGCTGCCCRAGTTGCCCAGCCGCTCCACGCGGGTGCTGAGCCGGCCCGAAGCGCTGGTATGGATGTGCTGGGATGCTCTGGAATTGCGGCCTGGGCGTCCCCGGCAGGGGCCGTGGTGCCAGCTGGCCGGCAGCCGGCGCGCGCGGCGAGGCAAGGCGGTGCGGGCCGGGCCGCGGCCGCCAAGCGCGTGTCGGAGCGTCTTCCTCAAGAGGCACCACTCGGCGCTCGCCGCCGTGCCAAGAGGACGCAAAGAGACGCACGGGCTCCGGCACAAGAGCGCCAAGGAGCTGGCGACAGGACGTGCGGCCCGTAGCGCCCGGCCGGGCGCGGGGTGCTGGGCCCGGGCTCAGCCTGCGCAGGGAGCACCGAGGCCTCTCCCAGGTGAGTGGGAAGAAGCGGGACCAGAGCAGCTCTCGGAACCAGCCCCACCAGCCAAACCAGCTCGCGGGCCAGGCGCTGCTTGAGGAATCCCTGTCAGCTGCCGCGGTGGCTTGGCTGGGAAGGGAGGGCTCCTGGGACACCCCATGGGCTCCATCACAGCGCCGGCACGGGGGGATCACCCCTTCCTGAAGGGGGTTTTCCCCCCGACTTGTTGCTGCCCACAGACACAGGGCCTGGGAAGCAGAATCAAGCAGCAGCAGCCACTGGGGCTGGTGCAGGGGGAAAGAAGGCACCGGAATCGGGTCTCGCTCTCGCCCCTCGCTCTTGGCTACTGGCCCCAGGCCACTTGATTTGGCCGCATCTCACAGCACAAGCTCCTGGTGCTGGTGTCCTGGTGAATGTGGTGACCACCCTGTGCATCACCCATTCTGAGRGTGCCTCACTCACCGAGCCACCTGCTAGGCCCTGTCCGACCTCCCCAGGCGCCCAGGAAGCACTAGGCCATCCCTAGTGACCGCGACATGGGAATCCCACCGTGAACCTGGTGCTGTGAAGGCCCTGCTTGTTATGGGCTTCCCTGCGAATCAGTCAGTCCAACCACTCTTGGGGCCTACAGGACACAGGAATTTGTTCCTCTGTCCTGTCTTGCGATGACTTGGGGGATCCGAACGGCCCCCAAGGTGGCACCAAGCCACCTATCCCCAAAGCGGATCAGCGAACGCCTCCTGCACCCTCCACGTCTCCGCTGCTCCCTGGTGAAGGGGCAGCCCTTGATTCAAGGGCTCGATCCCGGCTGCCCGCGGGTCCCTCCTCTCCCCACCTCGACCCTTTGCGGCAGCCCGGCTGCGGGGTGGGATGCAGCGAGGTGCTGGTGACCATAGGGTGCTGTAAGGGGGCACAAGCACCCCGAGGAGCGCGGCCGGGGCTGCCCGGGGGGAGTGGGTCCGTGGCGCAGCGACGGGGCGTGCGTGTGCACACATTTCCATCCATCTATATGTTAGTTATCTCACTCCGAGACGGCGGCCGCCACTGCTGCATCCCTTTTCGGAGCTGCTATTGGCCAGAAATGATGTCAGTGCTTCCCAGGCTGGGTGCTCTGCCATTGGCGGCGAGCGGGGATGCGGCTGGCAGCTGGAAGCGCTCCAGTCATTCACGGCCACTTCGGTGTGGGTTTGCCGGGCACGCTCGGCCACAAATAGGTGGCAAAAGGTGCCGTGGGACCAGGTGAGCAACCAGGGCTCCAACTGGGGATCCTGCTGCAGCCAGGATCCTCTCTAGCATCCCCGCATGAGGACCAGGCACCCACCTGTCTGGCCCTTGTTCTGGCAGCAGCGGCTGGTCGCAAGCACCCTATTAACCCCAACGCCGCCAAGCGCCTCCCCCTTGGCTCCTCGGTGGCCTTTGGGCCACCAGAACCAGCTCGTCGGCTTTTCTCCCCCCCGGACTAGCAGCCAAAGTGCCTGGCTTCACCGTGGGCTCAGCGGCGATCACGGCACAGCTTGAAACGCCGCTCCTGGGCTCCGTCCTCCCCGGCGTGATCGCGGCCCGGCGCCTCCAGCGCTGGGCAGGGGTGGGGAGGGAGGCTGCCAGCTCTCCTGGCTGCTCCGTGCTCCTCTCCCACTTAACTTGCAGCGCGTCAGTAGCTCCTGCTTGAGAYGCGAGCTGCTTGGCTCGCGCAAGCCTGGGCTCTAACTTGGCGCGCGTGGGAACGGAGCCGCCGGCTCCCAGTGTTTTGCTCTTCCTCAACCTGGGTGACTGCAGGAGTCCAAAAATAGGAGACTCAGACTCGGGCCGCGACAGCGCCGGCGCGGGAAGGGTCACAGCACAGGTGACAACGCGCGGCAGCTCTTTCTAASCAAAGCCAGGGCTGTGCAGAGCAGCACGGGGGGAGAAGGGCCGAGGGGCCGCGCTCTGCTTGGGGTCCCATCCCATCTCAGCTCCCGGATCACCTCCGGAGCGGCGCTGGGGCATTCAGGGGAAGCCAGAGGCTTCCCTGCACGTGCTGCCGTGTTGCCCGGCAGGTTCCCTCCCTTCAGGGACGCCGGTGCGTCCCAGGCCCCGGTGAGACGCGCGGCTCCACGGGGGCTCGGGCGCCAGTGCCCCAGGTGGGGTCCTCGGGGGCTCCGYGGAGGCTTCCCCTGTGCCCCCGACCCGGCCGCTCCCCTCGTGCATCCTCACGTTGCGTTCCCAAGCRCACCTCGGCGCGTGGGGGCCGCGGGCAGAGCCGCCGCGCGCCGGGGCGCTGGGGACAGGGACACGCAGCGCTGTCCCCTCGCGGGGAGCCGGGCCCGGGCCGCGAGG